AGCACCAGGGCATGCAGGTGAGGGATGGAGAGGGATGGGGTGGAGTGGAGTGTGGGATTTGGAAAGTCAGTGGAGCGGACTGTGGGAAATCCAGTGGGGTGGTAGGAAGGGTCGCCGTGATTGGCTGCTGAGGTCGACCAGTTGGTGAGTTTGGTGGATGTATGGTGACGATCGGGTCGACGTTTTGGCGGAGCATCCAGACCGGACGTTGGTATGACAACCATGTACTCGCTTGAAACCGCATCGCAAGATGTATGGATCTCAAAGAAATGGTGAAACCTTGAGCATGTGGAGGCGCTACAAGCAATGGCTGTTGGCCTGGTATTTATAAGGAAAACCTATTGGTCTCTGCGTCGTGATATGATGAGAAGATTTTCCTTGCTTCATTATTTGTTGACATATGAATTCTAATAATAACTTGGATTTTATCTAACGAAACTATTCTGAGAGATGTAGTAGAACCTGATGAGTAGCTAGCTAGAGCCATATGGATGGATGATGGAGATTTAATATTGCATGTATAGAGCCAATGGGTGGTACTGGAATGGGTGTACGATGTACACCCACTAGCCCTACCTTCTTCGTCTGCTGCTCTCATGGCTCAACTTTTCAAGCGAGGGCTGGCCAGCTCGGCTCCGCTGGCCTCCTCTCCTCCATGCCAACACAGTACCGTAGCATACTCGAATCCAACTGCAGTTCTAGATCTCTCAATCACAGCATCAAAACCCTCAGATCAGTTTCCTTCTCTCGTGTCAAATCAGTTCCCTACTAACTTTCCTCTCCGTTTGGATCGGTTAGCCATGGCCGAATCAGCGTCGAAGGTCATTCACATCCGGAATGTGCCATCTGAAGCCACTGAGGTGAGGATGACGAACACCTAACACGGTCCAGATCTGCTGTGTTCGTTGGTAGAATTTCCGTGATTTTTCGTGTACTCCGCCTATTTGAAAGCTCACTCCGCCTCGTTTTCGTTTTATTGTCCATTGATAACATTTTCCGATTCTGCAGGTCGACGTGCAGCAGCTGGCGCAGAACTTCGGTCCGGTACAGAGGGTTGTCGTCATGAGAGCCAAGAATCAGGTTCGCTTTTTATTTCGCATGGATAATTTATCTCGTGCGTCCGTCAGCGTCGTCGATTTCGTTATTCTACTTCATTCTCTCACGATTTCCGTTCGCGGTTCGTGCAGGCCCTCATTGAGATGCAGGACATTGCTGCTGCGATCAACATGATTCAGTTCTACACTGGCGTGCAGGCCTCCATCAAGTAATACATTTTTTATAGTTATTCGTTTGTATTTCTCATGGTACTTGTGCTTTTCGGTTCATCGTGCTGTCGATCGCCGTTAAATTCTCACAGCCACCTGTAACCATGTAACCATGTGCAGGGGGAGGAACGTGTACTGCCAGTTCTCCTCTCATCAGGTCCTCACGCCTAACGAGAACCCGGCCAGGACGCACCAGGAGGTACGTGAATCGTGACCGACCGGAATTCCAACTGATTAACGAGGACCGCAAGGCTGAAGCCGGTGGTCGGTCTGAGACCGTCGTGCGGACTGTCTCGATCGCATTGAGCTGAGTAGCCGCTCGGCGACCAGGAACTACGGACCGGCCATCCGCTTCACGCCGTCCCCGTCTCCTCTCTGCTCTCGTCCGTTTCCGTAGCCTGTCGTCAACCTTCTCCGCCTGCCGTCACCTTTCTCCGCCTGTCGTCACCTTTCTCCGCCTGTCGTCACCTTTCTCCACCTGTCGTCACCTTTATCCACCTTTCGTCACCTTTCTCCGCCTTTCGTCACCTTTCTCCGCTTTCGTCACCTTTCTCCGCCTTTCGTCACTTTTCTCCGCTTTCGTCACCTTTCTCCACCTTTCGTCACCTGTCTCCGCCTTTTTCTCTTATCTGTTCTTCAGCTCTTACCCCTCCCTCTCCCTCTCCCTCCCCTCTTCTCTCCTCTTCTCTCTTCCCCCTCTCCTCCCCTCCGTTCCCTCTCCCCTCTCCTTCTCGTCGTCTGACCAGGGAGCCCCTAACCGCATAATCCTAGTCACTATCCACAACCCGCTCTATCCCATCAACGTGGATGTGCTCCACCAAGTCTTTTCTCCCCATGGCTTTGTTGAGAAGATCGTCACTTTCCAGAAAGCTGCTGGTCGGATTTCCCTTTCCCTCTCCCCTCCCCTTCCCTTCCCTCCCTCGCCCTCGCCCTCGCCCTCGCTCCTTTCGCCGCCGTCTCTTTCCTGCTCCTTCCGCTCCTTCTGCTCCTTCTGCTCCGTCTGCTTCTTCCGCTCCTTCTGCCCTTCTCCTGCTCTCAAGCCGACCCTGTAGTTCGGCCCTAGCTTGCCATGCACCGGAGTGAGGATCGTCCTCTCTCGGGGAAAACCGGCTGTGCTGCATCAGGTGTGGCGTTCTGACCCGCGTTGTGCTGCCTCTCGTGCTTGTCCCGTGTCTCCTTGTCCTGCTGTGCTGTGCTTGGCGCGCTGCAGGTCTGCAGGCGCTGGTGCAGTACAACAACCAGGCGAGCTCCATCCAGGCCAAGAGCAACCTGCAGGGCCGCAACATCTACGACGGCTGCTGCACGCTCGACATCCAGTTCTCCAAGTGAGACCATCGTCCTTGGACATCCATTCTAGTCTTGGGCTAAATACCTGTCTGTTCAAATTCGTCATGCCAAAATGTCGAATTCTTCATGATCCGTGTGCATGCGTTTTTCTACGCCTGCATGTGTGCGCGCGGGTGAATGGGGTGGTGGTGGTCGTCGTCGCCGTGTGTGTGTGTTGTGTGTGCGTGCAGTCTGAGCGAGCTGCAGGTGCATTACAACAACGAGCGCACCAGGGACTACGTCAACCAACTCCCGGACCAGCCTGGGAAGGCGCCCGGAAACATCATGGTAAGGTGACAGGGCGTTCTCTGTCCCGTGAACGTATATTCCCTGTCGTTTGTCTGGCTGACGTTCTTTTGTTTTTGGTTTTTTTCTGCTTTCGATTTCGCAGCAGCAATCTCTGTTCGGCGAGGGTGGGAACGTGTATGGCGGCATTCCCGGGCAACGGCCCGGGGTGTTCCCCGGACAGATGGGGCAGATGGGTCAGATGGGACAAATGGGCCAGATGGGCCAACCCGGCATGCCCCAGCCTGGCATGGGCGGGCTTAATGCGTATGGGGTAAGCCGTTACGCTCATTGCGGCTGCTGCTGCTGCTGCCGCTTCTTACAGTGGATGTTTGCACTTCCTTTTTTCAACTGGCCTTATTTATATCGCATTGCTGTATTCAGGGCGCGACTATGGCTGCAGCAGCTGCGGCACAGATGTTTGGAGGCAACCTGCCGCCTGGCGTGACAGGAACCAACGACCGCTGCACGCTGCTCATCTCTAACATCAACCACGAGGTACGCTAATGTCTAGCGTGCGACATGTGGCATGCTGACGTAGCCCATGAGGAAGGCTGTCCTGTTTTGGGCAGTTGCTGCTGGAGACGCGCACACCGTTGCGGTTGTCACGGAGCAAGTGATACCAATGCACTCCCCTTGCCCTTACCATGCACCATCCTTACCTCACGTCACCCTTTCCCTTTCCGGTACCGTCCATCCCTTTCAGGTGGTTGACGCGGACAAGCTGTTCAACCTGGTGTCCAACTACGGCAACGTGCTGCGCATCAAGTTCCTCCACAACAAGCCCGACCACGCCCTCGTGCAGCTCGCCGACGGGCTGCAGGGGGAGCTTGCCGTGACGTACCTCAAGGTATGCTGTCATGTACCATATGGTTTGTTGGGTCCGTACTCCGTATGGCCTGTATGGTCAGTGTGGTCTGTATGGTCAGTGTGGCCTGTATGGTTTGTATGGCTCACGGCATGCGGCATGCGTTTGAGGTGCCTCAAGCAAGCCCGGCTACGCCCTCGTGCAGCTCATGCCTCGCGCCCCCTGTGTGAGGCAAGTGGCTGGAGGTGAACCACACCAAGTCCACCCTTTCATGGATCTGCTTGCCAACACCAAGGTGATGCGTTTCTATCACTTTATTACCCATACCTGTGCTCTCTTCTGCCCTCCCACCTCCCGCCAATCCCACCTCCCGCCAATCCCACCCCCCCCACCATCCCCACCCTTCAGGGTGCGACAGTGTTTGGCAAGCGGCAGGAGGTGAACTACTCCAAGTACCCGTCCATCAACCTGTCGGCCGACACCAAGGGGGTGCTTTCATCTCATGTCACATCTCTCTGCTCCCTCTTCCCCCCACAACTTTCAGGGTGCCACGGTGTTTGGCAAGCGGCTGGAGGTGAATTACTCCAAGTACCCGTCCATCAACCCCTCGGCCGACACCAAGGACTACTCCACCTCCAACCTCAACCGCTTTGGCCGCAACGCGCCCAAGAACTACCGGCACTGCTGCGCGCCCACGCGCATGCTGCACTGCAGCAACCTGCCTGCCGACGCCTCCGCCGAGATGGTTGTGGAGCACATGGCCCCGCATGGGCCCGTGCTGGGGTCTAAGGTGATTGATAAGGACGGCAAGAAGCAGGTGCTGGTGCTGTTTGAGAGCGTTGAGGCGGCGACTGATGCTCTCGTGGCGAAGCATGCGAGCGCGATTGGGGGACAGGTTATCCGGCTGGCCTTTTCCAAGAGCCAGAATCTCTAGATTAAGGGAGGGGTTTGTACCCATCAATGGCACTCACAAACATGAGTTACCCATTGATGGGTAACTCATGTTTGTGGAGCAGATGCCACCGCACGGGCTGGTGTTGGTGCCAAAGGTGATTGATAAGGACTGCAAGCAGGTGCTGGTGCTGTTGGAGAGCGTTGTGGCGGCCATGGATATGCCTGAGGCGAAGCATGCGAGGGCGATTTGGCTTTAAAAGCGTTTTTAAGAGCCAGAACCTGTACGGTAGAGTGGGTGTTGAGGCGAAAGCTAGCACAGGGGTGGCAGTCCTTCCGCCCTGAAATGCTTTTTGATAGGATGTGTGGTTTTTGCCCTGATTTGATCTGACAGATGAAAGACAGAATATTTCACAATGAATGTATATTCCTTATACCTGATAGAACACACAATGGAGGACACAACCAGTAGAAGTCCAAGAACTTCGCCATCGGTGGTAATCAACAGAACATGTGTGGCATGGGCCGCACTGCCATGAACGCATCCACCATCTGCACGCGTTGGGTGGGAAGCATGACAGACATGGATGCATGCATGGATGACAGGTGAGGCACAAGCAAGCCAGGGGACACATCACAACAACACAACAGGGAGGGTGGATCAGACAGCTGAAGGTCGGGGCAGAGGTGGCGGCCACAGCAGTAGGGGTGAGCAGCGCAGGGCGAGCGCAGCGCTGCCTACTGGCCAGGGGAGAGTGCAATCCAGAGGGAAAGGAGGAGCGACTCACCTCGTCCGTGACTAGCTCGCATGCCATCTGGTGGCGCTCCACCATGGCTGTCAGCACCTCCACCGGGCGCTGATTCAAGGTGGATCATCAAGGGGTGGGTGCAGCAACAAAGCCCGCAGACAGCGACCACAGTAGCAGTACCTACCAGGGCGACTCACCTCGTCCGTGACCAGCTCGCGTGCCTTCTGGTGGCGCTCCACCATGGCTGTCAGCACCTCCACCAGCCGCTTCTTCACATCGCCCGTTAGCATGCGCCCCGCCCCGTACTCCTGCACGGAGAGGAAGGGAGGGCAAGGGAGGGAGTGGGAGGGTGGTTGGAACTTGCAACGATCAGGCAGCACACATGCACGGCCTTCGTGATATCAGGTACCACACGAGGTCGCACTCAGCTAGACAAAACAATGATGCAACACTCACTGGTTGTTGATGACAAGCAACAATGACAAACTGACTGGTCATTCGTGCACTCACTCATCTGATGTGGGCGGGAGAGAGGAGGCCTACCGGGCGAGAGAGGAGGCCTACCGGGCGAGAGAGGAGGCCTACCAGGCGAGAGAGGAGGCCTACCGGGCGAGAGAGGAGGCCTACCGGGCGAGAGAGGAGGCCTACCGGGCGAGAGAGGAGGCCTACCGGGCGAGAGAGGAGGCCTACCGGGCGAGAGAGGAGGCCTACCGGGCGAGAGAGGAGGCCTACCGGGCGAGAGAGGAGGCCTACCGGGCGAGAGAGGAGGCCTACCGGGCGAGAGAAGAGGCCTACCGGGCGAGAGAGGAGGCCTACCGGGCGAGAGAGGAGGGCTAATGGGCGAGAGAGGAGGCCTACTGGGCGAGAGAGGAGGCCTACCGGGCGAGAGAGGAGGGCTACCGGGCGAGAGACGAGGCCTACAGGGCGAGAGAGGAGGCCTACCGGGGGAGAGAGGAGGCGAGAGAGGAGGCCCACCGGGCGAGAGAGGAGGCCTACCAGGCAAGAGAGGAGGCCCACCGGGTGAAAGAGGACGCCTACGGGCGAGGGAGGAGGCCTTCCAGGCGAGAGAAGAGGCCTATCCGGCGAGAGAGGAGGCCTCCCGGGCGAGAGAGGAGGCGAGAGAGGAGGCAAGAGAGGAGGCCCACCGGGCGAGAGAGGAGGCCTACCAGGCAAGAGAGGAGGCCCACCGGGTGAAAGAGGACGCCTACGGGCGAGGGAGGAGGCCTTCCAGGCGAGAGAGGAGGCCTACCGGGCGAGAGAGGAGGCCTACCGGCCGAGACAGGAGGCCTACCGGCCGAGAGAGGAGGCCTACCGGCCGAGAGAGGAGGCCTACCGGGCGAGAGAGGAGGCCTACCGGCCGAGAGAGGAGGCCTACCGGCCGAGAGAGGAGGCCTACCGGGCGAGAGAGGAGGCCTACCAGGCGAGAGAGGAGGCCTACGGGGCGAGAGAGGAGGCCTACCGGGCGAGAGAGGATTTGTACGGGGCACGTCCACCTTGATGGCATTGACTGTGTGCATCCACTGACATGTGTGCATGCACTGACATGTGTGCATGCACTGACATGTGTGCATGCACTGACATGTGTGCATGCACTGACGGCCATACCATAATAGTGTAAACCACATGCACTCAATCGTTTTTATGTGCTCAAGCTCAGCATCGTCGTCTAGGAAGGAGAGACTATCACACCTGAAATGCCTAAACCTGCACAGCAATGCGTGCAATGCACTGCACAGGAATGCGCTGCGTGCAACACAGCAACACCACATCATGCACTCACCGTCTTGATGTGCTCAAGCTCAGCATCGTCATCTAGGAAGAAGGAGAGGTACTTCACTGGCACGTCCACCTGATTGCCATGGGGATGCATGGGATAAGAAGGAGGGTTGTGAGATGAGGTGCGTTGAGATGAGGTGCATTGAGATGAGGTGCGTTGAGATGAGGTGCGTTGAGATGAGGTGCGTTGAGATGAGGTGCGTTGAGATGGGGCGTGCAAGACACTCATAGTAAACTCATGGCCAGACCATACGTCGGGCCACATCAGGAGGCGAGGCACGGGAAAACGCAGCGCGCAGCCTCACCTCGAGGTTGGCCCCCTTGGCCCGGTGTTCCTCGATGGTGGCACCCCCGCCTGAGAAGGCGTAGCGGTTGATCTGAGGGGAAATGGAGAGAAGGGTGGAGGGAGGGACGGGGGGGGGTGGGGATGCTGATGGCTCTGCGGAAAGAGGCACATGGTCGCACCCCCGCCTGAGACGGCGTAGCAGTTGATCTGGGGGAGGGCGGGAGAGGCAGGCAACAGTGGAGAAAGCAAAGCATGATACTTGGATCCAAATCATTTTTGAAAAATCCAGCAAAACAACATTATATTGAAATTAGAATCATACAGTCGTACCTTGTTCTTGATTTCCTTTGGCGAGTCCGTCACAAAGACAGCAGAGTTCGGATCACTTGCACTCATCTTCCCACTCTCGCCCTGAGCACAGCAGTGAGACGCAAACAGGCAATGGCACAAATACCTGGGATCAACAAGAGAGCCTTGCGGTTATACAGACAGAAAAGGCACCACAGAAGCTTTCAGGTCACTGGCACTCATACTGCCACTTTCATCATGCCCACCGGTGCGTTTTGAGTGCACGCAAAGCACACCTTTCTCCCTGCACCAAGCACTGGGAGACGTGGATGCTGGGAGAGAGAGGGGGCAGAAGCAGTAAGCAAGCATCATCCGCTCACACTCACTCTGCAGCCACAACTTCCCTCCCTTCCCTGCTTCCCCCTCCTCCTCCTCCCTGAATACACAAAAAACTGCCCCAGCCTCGCATCTGCCCCAGCCTCGCACCTGCCCCAGCCTCACACCTGCCCCAACAGTCCCACCTGCAGTGCGGGGAAGAAGCGTGACTCGATGAGGGCGGGCTTGTGGAAGCCGAAACACGGAAGAACCTGCATTGGTCTGACCTGCTCTGCCCTGCCATGCTCTCACCTGCACCAGTCCCACCTGCACCAGCAGTCTCACCTGCAGCGCGGGGAAGAAGCGTGACTCGATGAGCGCGGGCTTGTGGAAGCCCAGGCGGGGGGCACAGTCCCGCGTCATGCGGAAGTAGGGGTCCTGGCAGGGGGCGGGAGAGGGGGAGGGGGAGTGGGGATCCAGGACCATGGGGGGGGGTGCGAGCATCATAAGCCCAGGCGGGGGGCACAGTCCTGCTTTATGCGTAAGAAGGGGTCCTGGGGGGCGGGAGAGGGGGAGGGGGACTGGGAGTGGGGCGCAGGGGCCGTGGTCCACTGGACCACTTCTGCTCCGCTGGTCCACTGGACCACTTCTGCTCCGCTGGTCCGCTGGACCACTTCTGCTCCGCTGGTCCGCTGGACCACTTCTGCTCCGCTGGTCCGCTGGACCACTTCTGCTCCGCTGGTGCACTGGACTACTGACTGGTCCAGTTAGGACAGTTGAACAGTTAGGACAGTTGAACAGTTAGGACAGTTGAACAGTTAGGACAGTTGAACAGTTAGGACAGTTGAACAGGTAGGAGCTGAACAGTTTGGGGGGCGAAGTCATGGTTCAAGCAGAAGTAAGTGCCGTGGCAGGGGTGTTGGGAAGATGGAGGAAAGGGGTTTGGGAAGATGGAGGAAAGGGGTTTGGGAAGATGGAGGAAAGGGGTTTGGGAAGATGGAGGAAAGGGTTTGGGGGATCATGGAGGCGGGGAAAGACGAGGGCGCCCTCCTGAGTCATGCGGAAGCAGGGGTCCTGGCAGGGGGGCGCGGTGGGGTGGGGGGTGGGGGGGCATCCGATAGAACAACAAGTGGGTTTCTATGGCATGGGCATGGCATGGCATGGCACATGGGCATGGCATGGCATGGCATGGCATGAGCACGCACCTGGTCGATGGCGTGGGGGATGAGGCAGCGCACTTCGTTCTTGCGCCCAAACAGGTGCGGGAAGGACGAGGGGCATGCTGGGGCGGCCTGGGAGGCAGCAGGAGGCAGGGGGGTGGGGAAAGAGAGGGGATTGGGCATAGAGAGGGTTTGGGTAGCAGAGAGGAGCAGATAGGGGCATGAGAGAGTGAAGAGAAGGGGGGAAGGAAGGTGAGGGAAGGGTTGGTGAGGGAGATTAGGGGCGAGCAGAGATCTGGCAGTGAGCCAGGATAGGAGTTGATGAGAGCACGGAGTGAAAAACAGAGCCGGAGCCCATAGAGAACGGCGGAGTGGGTATAGAAGCAGGGAGGTGGAGGGAGGAGACAGAAAGGTGGAGAGGGGGGAGGAGAGGCAGAGAAGTGAGGGGGGGGGAGTGAGGGGAAGAGCGAGTGAGAGAAGGGGGGGGATGGACAGGGTGGCACCTGAACGGGAGGGAAGCCCACTTTGCCGATGCAATCCTCGCCGTCGAATCCAAAGATGCCACGTGCCTGATGAGATGAGATGGCATCACAGGGACGCACATGATGTGATGAGATGAGATGTGATTTGGAGCCTTACAGCAAGGCATCCATGTGATGTGATGTGATGTGATGTGATGTGATGGGGCTTGAAGAACACGAAGAATCAAAACGGATTGGTAAACCAGCACGAGGTAAGACAACTGGGAAGAAAGAGCATTGCGCACGAGAGTGAATGAGAAGGCAAAGGGCGGAAACTCTCCGCCAGATCGTGAAATCAGATCCCAGTGACAATGGCCTTGCCAGGGGGGCGGCGCCTTGCCTGGTTGAGTGTGACGCATCGAGCAATCTTGACGATATTCTGGTAGAAGTCCCTGCCACAGTGCAACCATGTGCGCACAGTCGGAAGCCGCTGAACGTGAAGGTTCTTGCCACATCAAAGCCTAATGCAATAATGCCCTTGGCGTTCTCTCATCTTCTTCACAATCACCTCGTCCCCTCGTCCCCCCTTCCTTCTTCCAATCCACCTGCCCCAATGCTCACCAGCCCACATAGTCAAAGTCACAGGAATGAACGCCCTTCCCAAGTCAAACTTCAAAGCCGTGTGCAACGATGTTACCTTGGTCGCCCAACCATGCTCACACCCCTCCCACCTTTCATCCACCCCCCTCTGCCCCCCAAACGCCCTCCCACTCACCCGCCCACATAGTCAAAGTCGCAGAAAATAAACGTCCTCGCCACGTCAAAGCCGCATGCAATGATGTCTTTGGCGTTTTCCCGGGCCAGGCGCCGCGCCTCGTCCACACTCATGCTCTTCCACAGGTACTTCTCGTCGTCCGTGAGCTGGATGACCAGAGGCACCTTGAAGGCCTCTTGCAGCCACCTGTTGAGGAGGGTTATCGAGAGACGTGAACAGCATAGAGAGTGGTGCCTAGTCCACACTCATGCTCTTCCACAGTACTTCTCGTCATCCGCGAGCTGGATGACCAGAGGCACTTTGAAGGCCTCGTGTAGCCACCTGGTGGGTGTATTTGAGTCGACTCAAAATACTTGAAGGCCTCGTGTAGCCACCTGGTGCGGTTAGGGAAGCGGACGGACAGAGGAGACAATGTCGACCCCTAATCCACGCTCATGCTCTCTCACAAATACTTGTTGCCGTCAGTTCTCTTCCACAATGACTAGGGGCGCCTTGAAGGCCTCCTGCTACCACCTGTAGAGGAGGGCGTGGAGAGAGCTGTGCGCCATTGAGAGCAGTGCATCCTCCGCATTCACGCTCCTCCACAATGTGCTTCACTGGACCACTGGACCCCTGGACCACTGGTCCAATGGACCACACTGGACCACACTGGACCTGGTGCAGCGCCTCTGACGAGACCGTTAGCAACGGTAGCAGTGCCCGGTGTGCACTGACAAGAGCACGCACCACTGCAACTCACTTAGTGAACATGAAGGGGATCAGGTGGCCCAGGTGCAGCGCCTCTGACGACGGCCCTCGCCCCGTGTACAGGTAGAACCGCTCGCCCTTCTCCACCGCGTCCAGGATCTTATCGAAGTCGCTGCAGGGAAAGGGCGTGCGTGGTGGTCAGGGGGGCAAGAGGAGAGCGTTGAGTGGGAGGAGGCATCGCCCCCCCTGACACGAGGCACCGCCCCCCTGACACGAGGCATCGCCGCGTGCACAGGTAGAACTGCTCGCTCGTCTCCAGTGCGGGAGGGCAGAGGAGGACAGCAGAGGGGAGCAGTGAGTGCGGATGTGGCCTCTCCCTGTGGCAAGAGGAACCGCTCGCCCTTCTCCGCCACGCCCAGGATCCGTCCAAGTCACTTGGGAGTGGGCGAGTGGGGCTGGAGGCGAGGGGCGGGCAGTGGGGGAAAGGGGGGAGACGAGAGCGTTGACGGGGGTATGATGCTCGCGCCTTGTTCAAAAGCATGACGCTTCTCCCGTTGCGTCTGGGGTATTGTCAATGTTGCTGGGAGGGAGGGGGCATGCACAGGCAGAAGGGAGGACTATGTATCTGCGGGGAAGGGGGGTGTGGAAGGGGGGGAAAGGGGGGGGGGGGGGGGGGGGGGGGAGTGGGGGCCTCACCCTGCGTACCGATTCGGCCACTCGTCCTCTCCACTGGATCTATGTGTACCGGTTAAAGTCACCTTTGCTGTTGAGTTCGCCTGCAAGAACGACTCTATGTTGATCTTCGTACCGGTGGCTAGGGCGATGACTTGCTCTGACGCCTTTGCCAGTCAACACTGCACCTGTGCGCGCCAGCAGCGCCTAAAATACTCGCACCACTGTGCGCGACAGGCCCTATTCTAGCCGCACCGGTGCGCAAAGAAGATGCCGCGGCGCAGGAACGGGTGCGCGCGCGCGCCGGTGAGCTTCTCCATACGCGCTATAAGCGCGGGCTCGAGGCGCTGGCAGCCGAACTGCTCGATAAGCTTGTTGTAGTCGATGCCGCCCTCAGCTGACACCTCCCACGGCGTCACCACCTGCTCCCCCTCCCCCGCGCTCTGCTCCGCCTCCCCGGCCTTCCGCTCCCCCGCATTCTCCCCGCCTGCGCCTCCTGCACTCGCCTCCGCGGGCGCCGGGGCTGCTGCAGCGGGATCGGCGCCGGTCATTGAGCGCGTCGCGGGGAAAAATGCGAAAGGGGAAACTTAGACGGTCTGGCAGGAGATCGCGGGTCGAAGATGACGTGTCTTGCTGCGGTGAAACGCAATGGGGACACGTGGGTAGGGTTCACGTGTCGCTGTGGCCAGGTGAGTTTTCCGTTGAACTGAATGATCTGGTGATCGCTAGCATCGGGTTTCGGGTTTCTGATGACGCTGTACTCGTTTCACTAAAGATTCTATGTAAGAGTAATCACTGCATACACGATAAGAGATGAAAGGTGGAGCTATCGCGGGAAAAAAACTTATAGATATGCCTTATAGTTGTACCCTATATGAACTACCTCTAGCTAGGATACAGTGTTTATATATATTCCTAATACATACATAGATATATGAATGCCAACAGGAACGAACACTATCACAACTCGTGAGCAAAGTTTTGAAAGACTGTTCGGAATGTACAATATCCACGAATCACATCACTTCTTCGTTTGTCAAAATATAACATTTCAATCCTACACCGTAACTGCACTTCAGGCCCTTGCAACAAATTCAACGCCCTTGTCAATGCTGGACTTGAGCTCAGGCTTGAGCTTCTCCAACCATCCCCTGCAAGCGAGAGAGGAAAACAGATGACAGAACCTTCAGACGTGCAGAAAGAGGAGAACGAGGCATGCAGCATGATTCAGAAGAATCTCTCATTCTGCCCTTCATGACCCCGCTGTCACAGAATCACGCAGTTTGCAAGCAAGCGAGACACCCTCCTCTCGTACTCAGTCATCGTCCCCAGAGAAAGCACCTCCTCCACTCCCCGCCGCCCCAGTACCACACCGACACACACACCAATTGACACAGGGGCTTGACACAGGGGCACACACCCATTGACACAGAGATGCACACGGGCACACCAGGGCACAACACCCCTCAAGCTGGCCAGGATTCGTGCATGCAAGGCAGCAGGAAAGGCACTCACCTCTCGTATTCCGTCATGGGCCCCAGAGAGAGCACCTCCTCCACTCCCCGCCGCCCCAGCACCACTCGAGATGCAAAGAAGGGTAGCTCTGTCACCTGCACGTGCACAGCCACAAGGGTGGTGGGGGTGGATGGCGGGGTTAAGCGAGATGAGTGATGAGCGGTGGATGGTCTGGCTTGAGGGGAATGGGCCGGGGATGGTGGGGTTGTAAGAGATGAATTCAGATCAAATCCAGGAGCGCTGAAGCGGGCTGATTGCCGACTGCACCTCAACCCTGCCTGAACTGGTCTACCGGACAAGCCCCCAGCAAGTGACTTGTGAGTCGCCGCACAGCGAGAGAACAGACGATGACTCACAGTGGACTGCACAAACGCGCACTCCACAATGCCTGCCTCCCCTCGCATGGCCTGTAGGCACGCCTGGGCGAACTTGGCTGCTGCATACGCCTGCTCACGGCAGTGGGGAGGGAGGAACAGGAGGAAGCGGCCAAAGGATTGGTTAAGTACACCGGGAAAGGGGACAAGGGTTGAATGGCCAGCGGCGCGGAGCAGTGCAAGGGAACGTGAAGGCAGTACAGGTGGGTACAGGTGGGTACAGGTGGATTGTGCTGGGGACGGTGCAATCGAATCATCTGGTGGAACTTGACATGCTCTACACTTTGCCTGGCTGCTTTATTGACTGGTTTCATATATCTGGTTATATGAGTGGTGTGATTTTATAGACGCAAGAGTGGCATGGCATGGGTATGGCAATGTGCGTGCGGCACGGCGCGCAGAGGCTCACCATGGACAGAGTGGCTGACCCAGCGCCGGCTTTGGCCTGCAGCAGGGCAGGGAGGGAAGCGCGGGAAGGGAGGGAAGGGAGCAAGCGGCCAGGAGGCCGGATCAGATCAGCACAGGGTGATCGAATGGCCACTTCCCAAGGTAAGGTGATACGGTGGAGTGGGCAATGCGCTCTGCCCATTGTGTGGTCAGACGGGAATCTCGATGACAAGTGCAGCTTGTACCGTGGTGATTGATCGTAGTAGCAGCATGCACTTCGTGTTTTGTTCGTGCAAGGATGTTTCTACAACAAGTGCCTTCTGCCTCTAGAAGTTCGCCTGACGACCAGACTGCTGCTACCGATCCCGCGCTCACCTCAACGACCTCCGTGCCTCCGTTTTGGATCCTGTTGGTCAGCTGATCCAACTCCTCCCTGCTGAAACTCACGGACGGGGTCACCTGCACGCACCCACCAAGCACGCACCCACACAGCACAGACAGCCACACGCCCACACAGCACAGACAGCCACATGCCACACAGCAGCATTGCCCCCATCGTGTTAGCCAGTGAAAACAACATCACTTGCGGAAGAGAGTGTCAATGAGGGCAGTGCGGACAAGCGAGGTCTGTGAGGGCAGTGAGGGCAAGCATGATCGCGAAAGCGCTTTGGCATGCGAGCGTTGCTACAGCGGTGAAAGCGTTGGCACCTGCGAGAGCAGCGGCAGGATGGTGATGCCTGCGTGTTTCTGTGGATGTTTTTTGAGAGCAGCGCTTACATGTCCGAGCATTCGCACCTGCGAGAGCAGCGGCAGGATGGTGATGCCCGCATGCCCCCCCACCACCGGCACGTTCACCTCCTCTGGGTTCAGCCCCAGCACCTCCGCCTGCCATTCGCACACGCACACACCGTAGAGCTCTTCAACGGCACACAGTATTCACAGTTCATTTACATAAGGCTTGATGGAAAGCGGAGAGGAAGTGAGAGAGATTGTGAGAGAGGAACGAGCCAGCAGAGGGAGGGAGGGAGGGAGCTGAGGGAGGGAGGCAGGGAGGGAGGCAGGGAGGGCGGGAGGGAGAGAGGGCAGGAGGGAGGTCGCGGCACGTACCACAAAGGTGTTGGCGCGAACCACATCGAGCGTCGTGACGCCCATCAGCTTCCTCGGGTCGTACGTCCCCGAGCGCTTGAACACCTCAGCGGCGATCGCGACCGTCGAATTCACGGGGTTACTAATAATGTTCACCACCGCGTGCGGGCAGTGCTTCGCGATTCCCTCGCAGAGCGTCTTGACGATGCCCGCGTTGATGTTGAAGAGGTCGTCGCGCGTCATGCCCGGCTTGCGGGGCACGCCCGCGGGGATGATCACCAGGTCCATGCCGTCAAGAGCCGCTCCCAGCTGGTCCTTGCCCAGGAATCCGCGCACCTGAAGGGACGCAGGGAGCCCCAGGGAGCACCAGGGAGCACCAGGGAGCACCAGGGAGCACCAGGGAGCACCAGGGAGCACCAGGGAGCACATTAGACGGAACGAGGTGGGGACGACGGCAGGGTTCATGCCGTCGAGAGCGGCGTCCAGCTGGACCTTGCCCAAGAACCCGCGCACCTGGAAAAGGAAGCACATGCGTTCAATAATAACAAAGCATACCACGAATTTTGGGGTGAATATGTTGTCACAGACAGCAGCGAGCGTACCACGGCGGAGGTGCTGGTGTGGCTGAGGTCGGCCGTGACGCCGGGCGTGTTAAACACGTCGTACAGGTGCAGCACCGACACGAGCGGGTTCATCTTCAGCAGCAGCGACAGCGGCTGCCCGATGCCGCCCGCCGCTCCCAGCACCGCCACCTTGAACCCGCCGCTGCTGCCCTTGGCGCGCGTGGCGTTCATCGAAAGGCCGCCATCCTGGAAGTGGGGAAGGGGGGGGAGAGCACGCACGGGATGACTGTCAGTCCACTCAAAAGCGACCTTGAGCCCGCCGCTGCTGCCCTTGGCGCGCGTGGCGTCAATGCTGAGCCCGCGGTCCTGCGCTGGGGGAAGCACAGGCACGGCAGGGAATGATCAATTGTCCTTGTGTCACATTCACTATTGTGAAATTCGTCCGTAATTCGTTAGAATGTGTTGACTTGTGACGACCATCCGGGAAAGCGGGTGATACCAGAAGCAGCGTGAGACGAGCCAACAGCGCGCCAAGCGTTTAACGATGCACTACCGACTTACGCTGGACGAAGCGGGCGGGCAGATGTGCGAAGCGATGCGGTTGATTCGGTTCAGCGGACTCATGGTGCGGCTGACCAGACACTCGAGAAGGAAACGCGTACGACTGACGAGGACGACGGACGTAGGGCTGGTGGCGGCCTTCGGCCTGCTTCTAGCCTAGCTCGGGAAGGACTCGGGACGTGGGACAGACTTGAATTGGCCACGCAGAGAAGCGAGACAATGCGACGTCAGCTGGGCAGCTGCTAGGCCTTCAACACGAGCAGCGAAAACGATGGCGTCAGGAGAGATGAGAGGCTGGTGTTGGTGCAGTGCGTCTGCGGAGCGACTATGGCCAGGGAGGGTGAATTGGTAGGAATATGCGGCTGTTGTGCCTCTGAAATCGCCTTTCCCCGGCAACCGTTTTGGCCCCCCAAGCCGAGCCGAAAACATCGAGATTCCAGATTCGAGAGAGCATAGCTTCTCGCAAGTACATCATGCGTGCACCAGCTGGGTTTGGGATTGGGGGGAAGTGGGCCAACCTAGCTGGCACACTGGCCCTGTGATGTGGGTTGTGGTCCCAATGCATTTCTGGAGACTCGTGCTGACGTGACTCTGGGCTCTTTTAGGCAAGTGCTGAAAAGAGTTGTCGCGTCAGCAGGCGCTGATGTGGACATCGGGACTCAGTACAGTAGCTCCAATGAGCCCCAAACCAGTTGATTCGTTTTTGCGCCGATCCGTTTCAGTACTAATACCATCTACTCTACACGTGAAAATTTTAAACTCTAACCAGGTTCTTACTGCTGAATTCTGACAGCTGGGTAACAGTACTAGTGACCCCTTCGCCCCACCCCCACCCTCCCATTTTCCCTCCCTCATGGATGGGCCAGCCGAGCCCTGCTGGGCCCGGCAGGGGATACGTGTCGTACTTGTTTCCTTCACGCGCACGCACCCAGTCAGTTGATAAATTCTCTGCACCGTTGCTATCGCCGGTCAGTCCGCCAGTCAGTCTGTGTTTGCTGCTTGTGGGTCCTGCCATTCGGTTCACGCAGAACCCCGCTGCGTCGCCTCGCTCCGCGTCTTCTGCTGCACTCTCGACGACCATTAGCCGTGTGCTCCGCATTACCGCCTCCTCAATCCAGGCCCAGATTCGCAGATTCGCAGTTTCGCAGAATAGCCTAAGCAATAGAAGCCGTCGCCGCGAAAAACGTCACCCTCCTTGCGAGCGAGTCCAGGCGATTTCTAAGTACGCACTCGACCGATCCGAACAGTCCCAAACAGCCCGGAAAGCCTTCGACCCCAGTGTTGAGTGGTGCGGCGAGATGAGTCGGCAGATGTGCGGCGAGTGCAAGCGCAACACGGAGCTGGTCCACGACCACGCGGCGGGCGACCTCATCTGCGCCGAGTGCGGGCTCGTGGTGGAGGCGCACAGCGTGGACGAGACGTCCGAGTGGCGCACGTTCTCTAATGAGGCCGCTAACACCGACCCCGTGCGCGTCGGCGGGCCGACCAATCAGCTGCTGACGGATGGCGGGCTCACGACGATGATCAGCGCGGGGAAGAACGGGCAGGGCGGAGGGGAGCTGCCCGGGCGGAGAGGGTGGGCCAGCCAGGGCTCGAACCCTGACAGGGATCTGATCAATGCGTTCCAGGCGATTGGGGATATGGCGGACAGGTGAGGGGAGGGGTGGTGTAAAGGTGAGGCGGGCGGTGCTCGCAGGAATTCGCCTCTAGCAGTTAACACCCCCCAGGCGGGATGGTGAGCCAGCAACTAGCTTAAAACCAGCACGAGCTGCAGAAATGATTTCCTTCCTCTTTCCTCCCCCTCCCCTCCCTCGTGCCCCCCCTCTCATTCTTGCCCTCCCCCGCACCCTCCTCGGGCTCCGTTCACCTCCATGACTTTGTGGGGGGTGGTCGATCCACCATGTAACCCGGCCAACTCACTTGACCCACTTAACCCCGGGCGGATGCGTCCGTGCCCCCTTGGACGCGTGGAATATGGGCATCTCTCGCCATTCAAGACTGGGCCTGGTAGCCACCATCAGGGTACGTTCATCCGTCCCTCCCTCTCCCACCCTCCTTCCCCCCCTCCGCCCTCCTTCCCCCCCTCCGCCCCTCCTTCCCCCCCCCCCCCTCCCCCCCTCCGCCCCTCCTTTCCCCCCTCCGCCCCTCCTTTCCCCCCTCCGCCCCTCCTTCCCCCTCCCCCTCCTTCCCCCCCTCCCCCTCCTTCCCCCCCTCCTTTCCCCCCTCCGCCCCTCCTTCCCCCCCTCCGCCCCTCCCTCCCCCCCCTCCGCCTCTCCTTTCCCCCCTCCGCCCCTCCTTCCCCCCTCCGCCCCTCCTTCCCCCCTCCGCCCCTCCTTCCCCCCCCCCCCTCCTTCCCCCCCTCCGCCCCTCCTTTCCCCCCCCCCCCCCCCCCCCCCCCCCCCCCCCCCCCCCCCCCTCCCCCCCTCCCCCCCCTCCCCCCCCCCCCCCCCCCCCCCCCCCTCCCCCCCCCCCCCCTCCCCCCCCCCCCCCCTCCCCCCCCTCCGCCCCTCCTTTCCCCCCCTCCGCCCCTCCTTTCCCCCCTCCGCCCCTCCTTCCCCCCCCCCCCCCCCCCCCCCCCCCCCCCCCCCCCTCCGCCCCTCCTTCCCCCCCCCCCCCCCCCCTCCGCCCCTCCTTCCCCCCTCCGCCCCTCCTTTCCCCCCCTCCGCCCCTCCTTTCCCCCTCTCCCCCATTTTCTTGGTTCCGTTGCTCCAAGCGGGTGCGTGAATGCAACTCCACGTCCTGTCGTGAACACCCAACCCTTCAGCGTGTGCTGCTCTTTATGCTTTCTCCCGCCGCCACCGCCACGACCACCGCCAGGACCGCGTGAACGAGATTTGCAAGAAGGTGCATGACTTCAAGCCCATTCTCCTCGCACCCCTCATACCTCCTGTCTTGAACCTCATATTACCTTCCCTTCCAACCCTCTTCTCTCCCGCCACCAGGACCGCGCGAACGAGATCTTCAAGAAGGTGCATGACCTCAAGTCCATCCCTCCCTCCCCCCCTCTCTCCTTGTATCCTCTTCTCCCCCCACCAGGACCGAGCCAACGAGATCTTCAAGAAGGTGCATGACCTCAAGTCCATCCGCGGGCGCAGCAACGACGCCACGTATGCTGCCTGCCTCTACATCGCATGCAGACAGGAGGACAAACCGCGCACGTTTAAAGGTGGGCGCACCACTGCGTGCAGATCTGAAAGACTAACTCTGCTGGTGCTGTCTGCCTTGCACTCTCACCCATGCTCCCCCTCGCCGCCACGTCTCCCTCACCCCGCCACGTCTCCCTCACCCTGCCACGTCCCCCTCGCCCTGCCACGCCCCCCTCGCCCTGCCACGTCCCCCTCGCCCTGCCACGTCCCCCTCACCCTGCCACGTCCCCCTCGCCCTGCCACGTCTCCCGCACCCTGCCACGTGTGCAGAGATAGGTGCAGCGGGCAACAACATATCGAAGAAGGAGATTGGGCGGGCGACTAAGTTTATAGTGAAGCAGCTAGAAGCGGATATGGGGGCTGTGGACATGGGCGCAGTGAATGCAGGCGACTTCATGGTGAGTAGGCAGTTTCGTTATAAGCACATGCGTTGTTAGCACCTACTGCAACAGGATACCAGAAGCAACAAACCCAACACATTGTCTTCGTTGCGGATGCTGCCCCTACCTCCCCGCTCCCCCTTTCTCCCAGCATCGCTTCTGTTCGCGCCTGGGCATGGAAGCAGCAGAACGAGATCTCTGTGTGTCGCTTTGTTGTGCTTCAGATGCCTTCCTCTGCATACTCTCCCCCCCCCATCGCCTCTTTCCCCGCTCTCTCTGCAGCGTCGCTTCTGCTCGCATTTGGGCATGGAGGCAGCAGCGGTGCGGGCAGCCATGGAGGTGGTGCGCAACACAGAGCAGATCGACATCCGCACAAGCCGAGCGCCCATCTCCAAAGCTGCTGCCGCCATCTACATGGTCACTCAGCTGTGCAGCAAGCCCGTGCCCACCAAAGGTAGAGTCTCGGTGCTGCTTGTATGGTAAATATGTGTGCACCTTGGGAGGTGCATTCACCAGAAGCGCCTGTGCCCACCAGAAGCACCTGTGCCCACCAGAAGCCCATTGAGGCTTGAGCAGAGCGCCCAGCTCTAAAGCCGCTGCTGCCATGTACATAGTCACACAGCTGTGCAGCAAACCCGTGCCGACCAAAGGTAGTGTCAGATGCAACTTCTTGACTTGCAGTGCTTGGGAGGCGAGTACGGGCGCTGACTAGAGGCGCGTTGCACAGAGCTCCCATTTCCAAGGGGCGCTTCCACCACCTACACAGTCTTACAAGTCTTTCTTACAAGCCCTTTCTTTCTGCTTTCTTTCCCCTGTGCATGTCCACAGACTTATTGTGGGCAACCCGAGAAGCAGAAGTCACCATCGGCAGCACATTCACGTACCTCCTGCCCTTCCCTTCTCTCTTAGACCTCTCTTCTTCGCTCCTCTCCCC